AAGTTTATGCAAATGAAGACGAATCTTTATCAGATATAAAATCACCTTCATGGTCATGATTTCTATTGTGTTTTCTTCATGAATTATTAATGAGTTTTCTAAGTAGTGTTTAAAAAACGAGTAGGAGTGTTTTATCAGGTATAAAAGCACAAGGCATAGCCGAGTGGTTTTAGACCTGATAAAACACGATCTACGAGTTTTTTGAACTGCTTCAAAAACTCATGAACAATTTATAAGATTTTGGTTCAACTGGAGCCACCATACACGTCATGAACATGGACTTTTATACATCGATAGCAGTTCGTATGTACCTGTCATGCGCAGTTGAGGTTTATACATCACTATCATGTGCAGTCATTCCCAATAAAGGCTCCCACATTTTAAAGACAGCATGTTAATTAGTTTCAAGACAGGATTGCTAGTCAATAAGATTTCGTGGGTCGTCAGTGATCGTATGTGAGACAGAGCTTGATGAGACTCTAAGTYTTCATCTAAATTTGGAGATACCTTTATCTCTGATAAAGTCGTCCTTATTAGTATTCTTTATTTAAAGAATACTAGTGTAGAGTTCTTTATCAGATATAAAGATTGTCCTTATTAGTATTCTTTATATAAAGAATACTAATGAAGAGGACTTTATCAGGTATAAAGGTCCATGCACATGACATGTATGGTGGCTCCAATTGGACCAAAGGCTTATGCATTATTCATGAGTTTTTGAAATAATTATATGAAAGATGACAATAGCATGGGTAGTCTACGCTAATAACAGTTAACCTCTCCCCTATGCTAGGATAATAGGTTTTTGATAACAGGCCTGCACTGGAGTCCCCTAGTATGATGTGTTGTTCTCTCTTATGCTAAAAGGGGTAATGATGTTATAATTTGAGTTAATTATACATTATTTATTATTATTAGTTTTTATTATATTTTTGATGTACAAGACTCAGGTTTGCTGAATCTTAACATATCTTCATGATAAAAACTTATATGATGATGATGATGATGATGATCATGATGCTAGGATGGTTTTTCTCTGGGTTTTCCTTTTCCCCTCCCTCGCCACTCTGTAATAATTAACATAAATTGAGTGTGATGTGCATAGATCATTGAATGTAGTGGTAGTGTGTGTGAATGAAAAAGTGTCCTTAATTAGTGTGAAAGTGCTAGAACGACTTTCAATTCATAAGTATTTATATAATATTTATATTTTACTAGTCATTATTTAAAATGGGAGCTGGGGAAATATTTTGTGAAGCAATACTATTCAGCGTAAGAAGTAAGGATTGTTTTGTTTCATACTTAATTTTTTTCCCTTGTCTTAGAGAGAAGGCATTTAACCCGTGAAATAAAGAATATAAGTCAACGTGTAATAGTCAAATAGATCCACAAAAGAAAGCAATGAAATCTAAGGGTCTACTAAAGTGTTTGGTGTAATATCTATTTCAYGGGTTTAATGACTTCACTAAAGGAATGGTAGGCCCAGAATATAGGCTGCATTAAGTTTCATGAGTAATGAGAGTGACCACCCGGGGGGGGGGGGGTACTCCCCTATATTTGCTATACGGGTATGTGCCGCCCTATAGGGTATGGCTTTTCGGCTTTTGGGTCTGGGGAAGGGTATCATTTTTTGACATTTTGTCTGGGATAGGGGGTCATTTTAGTCTGGGATAGGGTTAACGATTTGGTCGTTTTTGTCTGGTGAATAAAGCTACGCTTTCTGCCGACACAAAAACAATAAAAACGTTAGTAAATATTGATTGCAATCGATTGTAAAACCGTATTTTCCGTCTTTTAGTCTGGGATAGGGTGTACAATTCTTAGTTTTAGTCTGGGGTAGGGTATGTAAAATCAAAATTTTAGATCTGGGATAGGGTCAGGGTTTTGAGGTCCTGGCGGCACACCCCTACCCAAGTTGGGGTGGTAGTACCCCCCCCCCCCGGGAGTCACCACAGTAAATCCGTGAAACTTTAGTAATACTAAATAGCACAATGTCATGCAAATTCCATTATCTTCTATTGTTTAGCTAGCACTATTTTGTACTATTTAGTAATAAGTGTTTCACGGATTTACTGTGGTCAATCTACCTTTAAATTTGATCATAATTATTAAATTGTGTATTTGTTTCAGAAAACTACGATGAAGATATCGAACAAGTGTTCATTAAAAAAGAATCAGATCCAGAAAAAAAGATATGCTACGAGATCAGCAAAGCTTGCGAGGGAGTGGATAGAACCAAAAAAGAGAAAGAAGATATGGATGTGAGGGTCAACGATGAGAAGCAAGAAGTTAATAAACAAGACGATGGAATCCAGAGACTAAACGTGGACATAAATGACCCTAACTCAGCTTCTAGACTCGCAGAACAGATCAAACAACRAATGGCCATGCAGCAGGCGGGTGGTGGGCCAAATGATTATGATGGTGACGATGAGGAAGGAGATGCTGATGAAATGCCAGAGGACATGGACGAGGAGGAGGGTGATGGTGATGAAGGAAATGAAAGGTCTGTAAAAAAACCCGCAAAGACAGACGAGAAAGAAGAAAAGACGACTGAAAAACAAGACAAGCCTGAAGGGGAAGATGAAAAACAAAGTACAAAGCAGAAGACTGAGCTCTAGGAAGAATATCCAAAATTATGAAATATTAAGAAATGAAATCAAAATTTATAATGAAGTATAACAATGTTGAATTATACTATATCTTTTATGTTTTTAGGTTGTTAAAGTCAGTAGTATTCAAGTATCGTTTGTCGTACAACAGTAGCGTCAAAACTCGGAAAGTCTCTAGATTACATTGAGGCTATGCATTAACGTTGCTCTAGCCGCATGCATGCTGCGCGTGTATTTGACTAGCCCTTCTAAGTTATCTTTGATGCGAGGCTAACAGGCAAAGAACTACAACAAAAGAAATAGCACTTTTACCATCGAGAACTAGTGTGATATATTTTCTATTTCTGTTATCCTTATTATCAGAAGTCCTGAGAGCGCTCTACGTCATCCCATGTACTTATTTCAATAAAGTTAGTCACCTGAAAAGCTATAAAGCTGAGGCCGACAAGGATTATGGGTAGATACATTTTACATGTTTCAACCGCTTGATAACTGTTCATGGACTTGCGAATCTTTTACCGGTTATATTCTCACCTCTTCTGAGCATTCTCAAGCTGCAGTTCGTATCAAAAAAGCTTTACTTGTTTGAAATGAATTGTTTCCCATGATCCTCAGTGATCTCAGCTTTCTAGGTTTTTGGTGACTAACTTTATTGAAATAAGTATATACACCTATTTCGAAAATCGTTGTCGCACAAAAAGCCTCAAGTAACAAGCCAAGGCTCCAGAGAACGTCATTAATGCATACAACGTTGTTTCACGGGCCAAGTAAAATCACTCTAGAGTGCACGCACTAAACCCATGAATAATGTTTAGTACTATTTATTAAAAATTCATGCGGAATCCTTTGTTTCCTATTGTTTGATTATCACTATTTAGTACTAAAAAATAGTATTTGTTTCACGGGTTTAGTGCGAGCACTCTAACTGCGTGGAGATCCTAATATATCACAATTGGTTGTCATGTAAGGACCTTACAAAACGTCAATCTATATACATATATTCATTTTAATATTTTATAGACTACTATAAATTAGTTCAGATATAATATATGCAGGTATGCCATGTTTTTTGGACAATTTTTATCRCAAATAAAGTACATTTTCGAATTCAATTAGGATTCAGGCTGAACTTTAATTACTGTTTTAATTCTGAGTCTGGGTCCTGGAATTTTTAAACCCTGCAATTCATCAGTCAGCCTTCAGTCTTGGGGTGGAAACAGAGTACGTACAACCGCAACCCCAAAAAGTTTGGCTGAAAATGGTACATTTTCTTTTTTTCGCTATTTTTGGGGGGCTACCTGTGAATTTTCGCGCCAAAACGCGCGTGCTCCAGGGGCACAAATTGGGGTGAGGTTCGGGGGAACCCCATACACCTCTTAAATGAAAAAAACAAAGCTCTTTTTAGGGCATGTTGATGATATTGAAGCCCCTGAGAGACAATAACGAACCCAAGATATAGAATAATGTAGTAGGTGTCCAGGATTTTTTCTTTGATTTTCCGAACCCCCTTACCCAATATCCTGGATCCAATCCGTCCCTGTGCTCTTCCCTCCAACACTAGTACTCTCGCAACGCTATTGTCATGCATGATCATGAAGTTACATGTGGAGCAAGGGTCTGTACACCCTTTACAAGAAGGTACTAATTGATTTGGAGAAATATAGGTTATTACAAATTTGTGTCTGGATATCATCAGGAACAGWGCCCCAGAACGCCAAGTCATTTGTGCTTCTCCCTCACACTGTTAGCTATGAATATCGATGAGCGCCTAGTTAGTAAGCCTGAAGCGAGATGACGTTTTACCCCCGTCTCTAGACCATAATCCTTTTCACACTGCTTTTGTTCTTTAATCATGACTACTRTTCCTGTATTCTCTAAGGAATCAAAAATTTTGATATGACAGAATTTTAAAAACTATTATGGTATAGAGTCGGGGGTAAAACGTCATCTCGCTTCAGGCTTATAAGCCTTTTCATAGTTTAAGAATCGATTCCACTGCGCATGCGCATTTCTCACCTTCTTTTGTTTAATTAAGAACAAAAGAAGGTTTAGACAAAAGAAGGTGAGAAATTCGGGATAAAATCGCATGCGCAGTGGAATCGATTCTTAAACTATGAAAAGGCTTACTGCGATCAATCAACCCAAAAAACTTTTAGTCAATTATTGTTATTATATACAAGATAAAGGAACTCTAGAACCCAGTGCTTTTTATTAAGTAAAAGAGCCTTTTGGGTATAGCCTGCATTAATGTTTTTCCTATTTATTTTTTTTATGAGGGGAAGTGAACTTGGGATGCAACGTGTCACAAAAAGAGATTATAGGTAGGTAAGGATTTCAAAATCAGCTCTCGATAAAGAAATCAACATATCTTAACAGTCACCCAAATCAGTAAGTCCCAAGTGAGCACTTAAAAGATTGCGAATGGTTAATGAACTGAGTTCTTTATATTGAATTGCTCAGACCGAAATTCAAATTAATATAGGCAGCTCAAAAAGCTAGGGGGAGTGGGGTGAGCATACTTGAGTGTTGAAATGGAGCTCATACTGCTTCCAGTTTTTCACCCAGCAAATAAAGTACGAAAGAAAACCATAGCGAGTGAACTAATTTAAGATGTGTCGATGTATGAAGCAAGCCAGTAGTAGTCTATTCCATGCAGTTTGAACTGCGTTAGTGTGGCAGCCCGAAACACATTGTTTGGAATGCGCTCAGCGAACGTATATCTTCGTAAAGTGCTCTTGGAGAAGGGGGAAATTAATTTAGAAAACGGTAGAAATCGACTTTTCTTGGAAAGCGACTTTCAAAAGTTCAAAACACTTTTTCAATTCCAACTTGATCTGACTATTATCAACGACGAAGAGTTAGAAACCACACCAAATGCTAAAGGTACCGACTAATCATTTTTGATTGACGGCAGCGAAAAATAAAATTGAAATATTTTAGCGCGAAGAGCTCGAATATCAAAAGCCGCAGTAAATCAGGAGCTGCCGCCGGAGGAGGAGCCGAGAATAACGAAAAACAGATATAACAAACGAAAGCTTGCAGTTTAGTTATTGGTTAATTTTAATGTATTGTGATGAAGCAATATTTCCACTATGATTAAATATAAACAATACAATGATTAATCTAGATAATCTAAACTGAAGTAATCACTACCTCTAAATTACATCTGCACCCTATATGTTTTACATCTAAATTTATTTAATTTGTTTTTGTTTTTATTGTTGAATAAAAATGAAAGCCAATATTATGCACTTGAGATAATAATTCTAGATCGTAGGATAGCATCTATGAGGACATCTTCACTTTCAGCTGCTAGATGGGCGAGAGAACAATTCTTTGCATAAGAATACAGGACAAACAGCTATAAAATCCAACTATACACATCAAAACGAAGGAAATTACATTCAACACGGACAAAGCTTTGTAAGAGTCCATTCCCCTGTCCTTTCTCCTCATTTGAAAGCAAGTCGAAGGAAATCGTATTCAAACCAAGTTACAATTTCAAATACAGTTTTTTTATGTTTTGTGTAAGTATAATTTGTGACATTGTTTTTCCCACACTGTCGTCGATATTTCGTTAGCTGTTTGAAGATTTGTACATGGTTATAGAACTGTGCATTTCGACTTCTCTGCCCATGGATTTTCTTTTTTCTCTGGTGGCACTATAAGAGGATCTGAGTTGTAGTTTTGTTGACAGTAATCTTTAAGGCTGAAAGAGAAATCAATTTTTTACTACAGATAAACACCTTAATGTTTAGAAGATTAAAAGTGCTAATTGTAAAATACATTTTACTGAAATAAAGCAAATTTTCTAAAATAATAAATTTTTCAAAATGTTGTGGCCATTTCCGCTTGGAACTCAGTCTTTTTCAACATGGAAATTGAAATTTCAGCTATTCTTGAAACGGCTCGGAATTGTTTTTCGAGCATCCTTTTTTCTATATATTGTTTTGGGCTTTTTTGGGGGGGGCTTCCTTACGATCTCATATATCAATTGTCGCAATGATCTTTTTGAACTGGTCGTTAAAAAAAAGAATTTCGATGACAACTAAGTAATAACAGACGTTCCTCACTAATTGTAAGTTTGGCATTAAAATTATGCGGGAGCCCTTTTGAGGAAGCGAAAATTAAGTTATATATTCACCAAACAGTTCTAAAATGTTAATTTGAGAACAAAGTTTTGGTGATAATCGATGATTGGAATAAAAGATGAGACCTAAAAACATAACTAAATCGAAACTAAAAAGTCGTGACTATTGTAAAGGATGCTATGTARAATCAGGCTGTTGTAAACTCCCAGCGATAGTAAACGAAGTTTGGATCTTTTTCATAATAAAATGTAATGTAACTAGAATACTGCCGGTATCATTACCGAATATGCAAGTTAGAACTTGTCATGAAATCACCAGTTTCCTATCTATATTGACTATAACCCGTTTAGATAAAAACAAATGTAAATTGTTTTGGAATTCATTGGGTCCAAATTATACGGAACGACTGAGCGACAAGAAAATCAGTCAAAAGTCATATCACTAGAGTAATAATTTATTCGACGTTTTTTTGCTATTGTTGAAAACCATCGTTCTTTTCTCGGATTCTCTTGTCCACATGTTACCATAAATAGAGCGTCATCTATTATGTACACACAAACTGCACTATCGTACCAAACACTTATTTACCCTCGTGGCTCGTTTCTCTAAAAAACATTCTGATAAGTCATTATTAGAAGAGAAATTATCATTGCTTTAGGTAAAATGCTAATGAGTTTTTTCTCACTTTTTTTCGAAGAAAATACAAAAACCAGCCCTTATAATTTGCATATTTAAATTTGCTTATCATGCGAGAAGCTTTCAAAGGTCGAATTCGCTTAGGTTAAGACTTTGAAGCCACAATACAGCCACCCTAACGAATAAGAAGACACGAGACACATCGACTTGAACAATGTTTTGACATGAATGAGTAAAAACCGTGTTCAAGCTTCGATCTGTTTCGTTCAGAACCATGAACGGCATATGTGTACGATCGAGATATACTTACTCGGCTGAGCACTTCGAGACTGGCATTCGCTGAATTTGAAGCTGAAATTTTAAACTTTCGACCGTTTTGACGAGTTGAGCTTTATCCATTGTACTAGTTGTTAAAAATGGGCTGAAGATTGAGGCCGTAACAGTCCAGATTATTGAATCCGAGCAAGATGCGGCTACCTTGTGTAGCTTGATTTTTCCTATTGCCTATGGAAGTCTCCAAATTTACGAAATCTTATTGGATGATGGAAAACAAAGTGATCTACCCCTAAGAAAAACTCAACAATCAAACCCGTA